TCTTCTCTCCAGAGATGTGACCCCTGCCACACACCTCACCAACGCTGCCTGTGGGGTGGCTGTGGCTCAGGTGGTAGAGCAGATATGCTAGTGACTAGAAGGTTGGTGGTTCGATCCTTGGCTTCCCCAGTCTGCATGCCAAGTATCCTTGGGCAAGATACTAACCCCAAGTTGCTCTTCACAGTGTGAATGTGTGTGAATGCTTAGATTGCAGTTAAGTATAGAAGGAAGTGCTTGTATGAGTGGGTATGAATGGGTGAATGAGGCATGTTGTATACAGCGCTTTGAGTACTCCGGGAGAGTAGAAAAGCTCTATAAGAATCAGTCCATTTACCATGTCCTGCATATATTTCTCTGCCACCCCGACTTCCTCATGCAGCACCACAGTTCCTGTCTCGTCACACGGTTTCAGTGAAACTCATTCTGACCTCCTCTGTACTCCATCAACGCTCTCAAAGCAAACGTCACATCTGTAAAGCTATTTCTTAATTTAAAGTTTCACTGATCATCACCACTCTTCTTAACCAAACAACTCATTCTAACATCTATTGTTAGAATGAGTTGACTCATATTGTATAGTTATCAGCTTTATCCGTGTAGTTACCACAGCTCTGCAGATCACCTTTATTCTTGAAAATCAGAACCTGTACATTTCTCCATTTCTCAAGCATCGTGTCACTCTACACAAGACTGTGTTAAACAGTCTGATTTAAAAAGCCTTCTCTCGTAGACATCTCTATGTCTCCATGAGAATCTCATCTGAGCCTTTCTGCTCGTCATAGCTGTCCTGTCTTTACTTTAAAATGTTATCCCCCCCCCCCAAAAAAAAGCTAAATTAACCTCAAATCTTCTGCACAACAAAGCCAACCTGCCTGTTTAGTGAAAGAACAAACTTAGGCGGTTTTGATTTGTACTGCTTTTTAATGTGTTTTTTTTTTCCCATCAGAAATAGTAAAAGCCATACAATGTAGCAAACCAAAACAACATGACAAAGCTCTATACAGGAATAGTAGCTCATTCACACACATTCTTGGGTCCAGACGCCACTGGAGTGTCCATCTTGGCAAACAAATGACTGACATTCAGTTTCATGGTTAGGAAGTCTTATATTTTTTTCCCCTCAAGAAGGAGTTTGTAGGCAAAAAAAGCTTATTTGTCTTATAAGCTGAGCCAAGAGGCAGTCGTCACGTGAAACTCGCACTGATATCTTCCTATGGGCTTCTCTGCGGAAAGGCTGGTTTAAATGAGACATGAAGATGCTGTGCACAGATTAGTCAACAGGCCGAAGGTTACAATTTGAGTCGAGCATGCAAGCTCCTGCTAATAAATAACGGAACATTCTAGTCAGGTATAAAACTCCTGGAAGGGCTCCATTGCTTAGGTTTGAGTCCATATAGGCCCCCAAACTAACCCTTACTGATGTTGCATCATGCTGCCATAGGTGGGAGTTTTCATTGCTGCTCATTCCTTTAATTAAAATTGAAAAAGCAAAATAATTTTGTTTGTCAAGAAAACGACAAAATCATTTAAGTTTTGTCAGTGATCAAATTATGTTAACTCAATATTTCACAGCTAAAACACTGTATTAAATTAAGTGGCTCCTTTGTAGTGATCCTTTTGCGCCACACGGGGGAAGCAGCTACTTACTAAACTGACTTGGTTTGGCTGTTAAAAGCCTCAGACCTGCTGTGAGGCGGTGTGAACGTAAGGACCCCCGATAGTCTGCCTGAATACACGCAGGGACATGACACAGGTCTGTCAACAGCGCCCCTCCACTCGGTTGACAACAAAAACACAGATAATACTTTAACATTTTAAGTGCTCTAAACTTAGACAACGTATTTTCTCGGCAGGTTTTAAGTGAATAAAACAGCGGCGTTGGCATCACTTTAGGATAACTCCAATTTGGACTTTAGTAACAACCATTTTTCATACAAAATATTTCCCCCAAGAAAACAACAACAAGAATGTTAACAAAAGAAAAATAATGCTGTGAAAAAAACATTCAAAAACAACAGTGATACCCCTTTTAAAATGCACACACTTTACACCTTTATATACGTCAATGCACTTGACTTTAGCCAAAATAAAAGCAATCTTTTCTTCTTGCTTTCAGTAATCTTGATGTATACTTTATAATACATGTATACAAGATAATATAGAGCAACAAAGCAACAAAAATAAATATCTTAAGTCACTGTTTGGAAGTTTATATATATATATATTTATATCTATATATGTATATTTATATGTATAGCTTACTTTTGGGTAGGGTGAGAGCTTCTTTCATCGATGGAAACTTTGAGCAGAGAAAAGTGCAGAGCAGATTTGGAGGACTAAATCTTTTTTCTTTAAAATAAAGATCGTCCTCACAAAAACTGCCCTCGGCCCTTCAATCATGAGTGAACGGTGTGGCTGCGGAGGCTGAACAGAGGATGGCAGCAGACGGGAAGCAAACCCTCCTCCTCCACGCTTCTCTGATACAATCAATGCCTTGTGGATGCAGTGATTCAGTGGCCTGTTCTGTAATGTTTTTTCTGTGGTCTCACTGAATGCAAGGTTCAGCTGATCTCTTCGGGCTCAAGCTGCACATCAGTCGCATCTTTAGCTACACTACGAACAGGGAAGGACCTGTGGTATTTTGGCTATTTGCATATATTAAGACGGCGTGGATATGTTTTAGGTTCTTTTTTTTTCTTTAAAAGCTCTGCATTTAGTTAAGAAAGTCAGGCACCAAATGTTATCTAGAACAGTCCTACTCAAAAAAAGCAATCTAGAGTATTTACACAACCCTTACCAGCTGCAAAAAATCTTTTTTTTTTTCTTTTTTTGCAAGATGGCAACGGTGCAGAATTGACCTACAGTATCAGTACATACAGAAAGAAACAGTATTTTTTGTTTAAGCAGCCATATTTGTTTTACAAAAGAATACTTCCGACCCTCATAGTCAGTGGCACGCTATACCCGCCCTGACTGCTTTTTTAAAATCTTTGGTTGACCAGTCAAAAAAGCCTGATAGATTCACAATCCACCTTTTACATCACACTACTTGACTTCTTCTTTTTTAAAAAACCAAAAATGAAACAGTTGCTAAAAAAATAACATTTGCACACAATGTCATTCCCTCTTCCTGTTCATGAGTTAACCCTGCCCGGGAGGTTAAAGTCGCCTCCCTTGCCCATTGTCACACACAGCCACGCCTCATCCTGCACTTCCTCTGGTCCATTCTGGAGTCCATCCAAGATTATAAGCAAAC